TTATGTATTCATTGTGTAAAACAGTGAGCTTCACTATTAAGCTTCATATATATATCATCTTTGTCCATATTTAGTTGTTTTATTCTCTTTTGTGCTCTAACAGCCCTTCTTGGTAGTTCCTTTGTTCTTCCTAAATAGCACCCCTGCCTGGTCCAGCATGGCCTTGGTAGGGGTGGAATCACATAGGTACCACCCATGGGATGGGACCCACAGAGCATGGGCATCCACAAGCATCTATGGCTACTGTGGGCGTAAGGCTTGTTCGTACAATACTATACATATTTTTATGTTCCTCCTTCAAGAAATATCCTCCCTGGATATGTTAATGACTCTATGATACTCAGAGACAGCATGAGTCAGGGTGGTGAAGGTGTGGCTAATGTCACAGCAAAATGGTAAATGTTGGGACCTTCAGGACAGCCCTTAAGGCTGTGGAAAATAACTCTAAAAACATGAGTTCAAAAATATATATTTTCTCAACTATGCAAAATATAAAGATGCAGTATGAGTTGTATGAGGGGCTTCGTGAATCTAAAGGAACAGAAGCAGCTGCATTAGGAGCCAACTTGTCAGAAAGATACTAGGGAAGGAGATAAAGAGATTTAGGGAGTAGTGATCGCAGAAGATCCCACACAGCTAAGGTTTTTTGGTTTTTTGTTTGTTTGTTTGTTTGTTTGTTTTTTGCTTACAAGGGCAAACAGATTCCTGAGTTCAAGGTCAGCCTGGGACAAAGGGAATTTAGTTCCTGGCCCAGATGTCTCAAGCAGAATATAAGCCACCATCTAGGACCCATGATTTGACTTCCAGTCATTTGTTTTAACAGTTCCCAGGCACCTCTTCTCTTAGAAGTCCCCTCCAAGCCCAGGCTGGTCCCTGGCACACCCCACCCCTTTCAGGTCATGTTCAGAGACACAGATTCGGTTGTACAAACACACTATAGATTCTGCATAAGAAAGGTGTGATATCATCTTTCTGGCTTATTTTACTCACCATGATGACCTGCCACTCCATCAAGATTCCTGGAAATTGCCATTCCATCTGTTCCTTCCACAGTTGCCAGTAGGACAGTGTCTCTCTGAGCTTCTGCCTAAAAGGGATGCCCTTCCTTTTGCTCAGGTTGTGTTTCAGTAGCTGGAACATTCCATGGCCACATGTTCTGGAAGGATTCCAGAAATCACATCCCTCATCCCTCCCATGTTCCCACAAGGAGGCTGAATAGTGTCTGGAAAATATTGACTATTATACATTCTCCTGACTATTCTTGCTTATTTCTTTATTTAAAAAAAATCCCCAATTAAACAAGCCCCCAAAAGTCCTTCCAGTGTTTTTCTTTTTAAAATGTCCAGAAAACCACAATTCAGGTGACTCAGAGATAGTGTCTCCTCATCAGGCTCGTATCACAGCTGCCCGTTCTGAACAGTTTAGCAAGTTAGACTTCAGTGAACATTGTGGGCTGGGTTTGAAACAAGGGTACACATACATTTTTCAGGGACAACATTTTAATAGGAAAAGAAGCAGACAGGGTCTGAGCCAAAATTTAGATCCAACTAATTATTGCTGGCCACCACACATCAGGCAGATAGCCAGGTATCTTTTGCATATGTTAGCTAATTCAATTTAATCCTTTAAAAAAACAATTTCAGGTGTTTTTTTTCATTCTTCATTTAACTATATAGAAAGTATGAAAAAAAAAATGATCTGCTCAGAAGCCATTAACCAGTAACTAACTGTCTCGTCTTGATTCTGTCACCTGAAGGTGCAAAAGCATGACACAACACTATCATAGGAACTGAGACCACATTTATCCAGCAGGGTTGTGGGGTGCATGAAACATGGGACTTCCAAAGGAAGCAGGTTGACGTTTATTAGGTAGGGAAAGATCCAGAAAGGGCATTAGCAAAAGCAAGAAGCATTCCTCAGAAGCATTGATCCACTTGCTATTGCTGCCTAGGATGAATAGAAATGAGGTGTTTGGAGGCCTGGAGATGCATTGGGAGAAAACTGTGAAAACTCAGATAGGCCTGAGTGAGCACGGGCGTTGGCAGTGAAAACAAAAAACAATCCTACTTCTCCTCTCCAGACCCAGTGGGCATTGCAGCCTGAAGTTGGCATTGCCTCTACATAGAGAGCAACTTTTTATTGTAAGTTTCTTAAGGATATGTTCTCAGGGAACTCTTTCATATACAGAAGCATGTAACTACCTCAGTATGGAATGCACAGAGTTTCTCTCTAAGAAACAGAACACACACACACACACACACACACACAGAGAGAGAGAGAGAGAGAGAGAGAGAGAGAGAGAGAGAGAGAGAGAGAGAGAGACAGAGAGAGAGAGAGAGAGACAGAGACAGAGACAGAGACAGAGACAGAGAGGGAGGGAGGGAGGGAGGGAGGGAGACAGAGACAGAGACAGACAGAGAGAGACAGAGAGAGAGAATGAATATGAATGCATGCCTCTTCCCCATCACTTCTTGTTGATCAATGAGACATCATGCTTTTGACTGTGGCTATTTGGGTATCAGAAAGAGAAGGGATTCTGAGAAATCTTTCTGACAATATCCAGATAAGAATCATAAATGTACAGGCACAACCCAGACAGACAGGTGAAAAAAACAGAGCCTACAGGCTCCTCTGGAAGGCCTGAGTTCTAGATCTGAGCTTTCAGCCTTAGTTGTGGTGGTTTGTATGTGCTTGGCTCAGGGAGTGGTACTATTAGGAGGTGTCTCCTTGTTGGAGTAGGTGTGGCCTTGTTGGAGGAAGTGTATCACTGTGGGAGTGGGCCTTAAGACCCTCCTCCTAACCATCTGGGAGCCAGTTTTCTCCTGTCTACCTTTGGATCAAGATGTTTCTGCTCCTCTAGCCTCATGTACGCCTGGATGCTGCCATCGATCCTCTGAACCTGTAAGCCAGCCCCAATTAAAATGCTGTTCTTTGTAAGAATTGCATTTGGTCATGGTATATCTTCACAGCAATGGAAACCCTAACTAAGAGAGTTGTGTATTCAGATTTTCAGTGAGTAGAGTGATCCTTCAGGGCAAGTCTGCAGTTTTCAACTGTTGGGAGTAGATTTAAACATTTTCCCATCTTCCTATCGCTGCATGCCAGATAGCTGCTATCAGCTTGCCCTTTCTGGGCTACATTTTAACACCATTTTATGAAAATTTTTTTCCAAGTCTGAAAACACATCTTTAGCAAAAACTTCCCACAGGGCAAGTCTGTTTTGACTGCCGAAAGCCTGGAGAGTCTGAGCACTGGGGGTCAAGTGCAGGAAGGCTCTGGCTTCAGCATCCTAGTGCCCTAGCAAGGAAAAGGAGTCTAACCCGAGGTAGTGGCAACGTTAGCAGTTATCCGGGCTTCCTGGCCGGTGATCTGAAAGCTCCACTTGGAGTTGAAGGAATGCCTGATGAAGTGGCATTTCTGGTAGCTTCGGCTGGCCCTTCCCATTAACATTACAGTAATACAGTTGTGTGGTGGTTGAAAAAGCATCCCTAGTTACAGGGAGTGATTTACAGGACACCAGACTCAGTATTTCAGAGTCTCCTGTGTACCATAAAAATATATTATAAAGGAATAATCTTTATCTGAACCAAAGCTGCGGTGTAGAAGACTCATGTCCAGCTGAGAGCAGCAGCGAGCTTTTGTTCACCCAGGGAAAAGTCTCCCGTCTTCGTCATATTTGATTAACATTTTTCCTCTCTTTAGCTCTAGGTATCTTGTTAATATTTAGACATTATATACATTTTCTTTCAACTATTGTTCCCATTATGAGATCAAATAGAACAGGAGAAGCCAGCCTCAGCAGCAGAAGAGGGGAAAGCTGATAGATTGAATACCCAGCTAGCTGTGCCTAGCACGGTAGAGCACACTAGAGTCAGTCCCAGTACTCATGAAGAAAGGTTCCTGAGAGTGCCTCCCTAGGTGGCCTCTCCCCCAAATCTAGCTTCCATCCCCCCTTTTCCTGATGTAAAGGCTACAACAAACCAGTCCACTTTAGAATCTCGCAAAGCCTTCTGATACCACCGAGTGAGAAGAGGGATGGAAATCTGTCTGCTAAGAACAGGCATCTAAAATATTCAGTGAAGGGACACACAGACATCCCTCTGCTTATTTGGTGTTTGGAGGGATGAGGAACCCAGTCTGCCCGCTCAGGGAACCCCAAGCTCCCTTAGCCCGCAGTGCCTCCCACAGGGCACAGGTGGGTGCACCTGTGGTTAAAGGGGACCCAGTAGGGGACAGCGCCATCTCCCAGCAGAAAGTACAGTCACTAGGTGATGAGGCAGGGGCAAAAGCTTCTAGTCTGGGAAACCTTGGGGTCTGTGTCAAAGCTCCACCCATCAGGAGCCTCAAAGATAAGGCTGGAGAGGTGGAAGTTGGGGTGGGGTAAGAACTGCATCAGAAAGCAAGGCAGGACGGAGGCTAGGGAAGAGACAGTCAGAAACGGGCTGAGTTTTCTCAGAGTCCCACTGGAGGAGCCCTGGGGGAACTTGTCACTGCGAGGCTCCCAGCTTCCCCAACGCACGACGGCCTGGGCTAGCACTGGGCTACAATTCCCTCCAAGAGTCCTGAGCGAACGCTGGCGAGCGCAGGCACCTCCGACTCCCGTGGGAGCACAGCGCCAGGGCGGGGCGGGGTCCTCCGCTCGCGCTTGGCGGCAGCTGGTGGGGGCCAGGATCTCCGCTCTCCCGGGGGCCCCAGCCTTGGCGCACGCCTCCGCTCTCGCGTACCCCCTCCGCAGGCACGCGCGAGGCGCACCCCTCCTTCCCCGGGCGGCGGCGGGCGCGCGCCCGCCCCCCTCGCCTCCGCCCCTCGGCGCCCGTCCTCTCTCCCGGCAGAAAGTTAGCAGCAGGGAAGGAACTCGGGGCTGCGGGAGCGGTAACAGCGGCAGCGCGGGGAGAGCGGGGCGCCGCGCACGGAGCAGGAGCCGCCGCGACTGGGCGCCCCCCTCGGGCTCCTGGCCTGAGGTTGAGGGGGGCGGCGGGGGTTCGCGAGGGGAGGGGGCCATGCGGCCGGGCTTGTCCCCGGCGCAGCGGGACGGCAGCCAGGGCCGGGGGCGCAGCGGCGTCGCTCCATGCAGCCGGGGCGGCTGGGCGGCGGCGGCGGCGGCGGCGGGGGCGGCGGCTG